CCCTCCCCTTGTCCCATAATTACTTACCTGTCTTGGAGCGTGGGCCGGCTTCACAGCGCGCTCCGCGGTCCAGGAACTTCTATTTCAGGTTCCGGTTTCCGGCGGGACTGAAAGGAAGTGTGCACACTTCCTTTCAGTCCCGCCGGAAACCGGAACCTGAAATAGAAGTTCCTGGACCGCGGAGCGCGCTGTGAAGCCGGCCCACGCTCCAAGACAGGTAAGTTATTCTTCACATTCGCTCCATAAGACGCACAGACATTTCCCCTCACTTTTGCGTCTTATGGAGCGAAAAATACGGTAATTCTCATTCCTGGGCTACCATACGCTCTCAAAGGCAACGTAACCAACCTGGCCATTTTCAATGTAAAAATATTTGACCCATATATTTGACCTTGTAACTTTCAAAAATGCTATAAAACCTGTACATGGGGGATACTGTTTTACTCGGGAGACATCGCTAAAGATTAATATTAGTGTTTAAAAACTGGAAAACGTATGACAATTAAATCAGTAAAAGTGCTGTTTGTGTGTGAAAAATGCAAAAAAGTCACTTTCACTGTCAATATCATCGCTGTGATAGGTTTTACGGTTTTGAATCACTAATATTTGTGTTCAGCAAAGTCTCCCGAGTAAAACATTACCCCCCCATGTACAGGTTTTAGGGTGTCATAGAAAGTTACAGGGTTAAACACAGTGCTAGCAAATTAAATTCTCTGGAATTTCGGCCTGGGTTGGCAGGCAGGTCCCTCAAATTGCAATCATTAAAATTACATAAATACGCACGTAGAATTTAAATATATATGCATATTTATATATCTGAAGTCTACGTGTATATTTATAGAATTATTTATGTAATTTTGTATATGGACATATGTATATTTTGTATTATTTTTATTTATTTATATATACATAGATATATATACAAATTCATTCTAAGTGTATTTTGATATAAATATATATTAATTTTAAAATACAGTTAGAATAAAATTTCATATAGATATAATTTTTCTAAATTTTTATTATTTAAAACATTTTTTATTTATATTACTTATATATTACATATACACAAACGTGTGTAATTTTATAAGTATTTTTATATTAATATAAGTACATATTAATATAAAAATACACTTAGTATGGCTATATATATATATATATATATATATATATATATATATATATATATATATATATATATATATACACACACACACACACACACACATACATACATACACATATACACACACATATACATATACATACATACACACACACAAATATATATTTATTTTTAATTAATATTAACTTTTTTTTTATTTTACACATGCAGGGAGACTGCCTGTTAAGCGATCACATGGCCACAGGGGTCCTAATCCAATGTGGGGAGACTGTCTGGGCTGCAGGCAGTCTCCCCACACCGGGAGCCACGCTGATTGCCGGCGGGGGAACGACGGCGATCAGGTAAGTAACTAGGACCGTTCGGACGGTTCAGGACCGTCATCGGTCGGCAATGGGAAAATGCCGATGACGGTCCTGAACCGTCCTCGGTCCTTAAAAGGTTAAAGGAGCAGTGACAGTGGTAAGTGCTAGGAATACAGACCTTGTATAATGTTCAAGGCAAGACAGTACCTGGGACCTCTTGGCACTATAGCAACTTAATTGAGATGAAGTCATTGTGATGCCCAGAGTTTTCATTTAAAGGACCACTATAGTGCTAGGAAAACAAACTTGTTTTCCTGGCACTATAGGGTCTTTAGGTCCCCCCACCCTCAGGGTCTCACTCCTGCCGGGCTGAAGGGGAAGGAAGGGGTTAAATCACTTCTCTTTCTCCAGCACCAGGCTCCCTCGGCGCTGAGGAAATCTCCCTCTTCCGACGTCAGCGATGAATGTGCATGCACGCATTCAATCAGTCCATAGGAAAGCATTTATCAATGCTTTCCTATGGACGTCAACGTCGTCTCACTGATTTTCAGTGAGAAGCGCCTCTAGCGGCGGTCAGTGAGACAGCCACTAGAGGATGGATTAACCCTAATGTAAACATAGCAGTTTCTCAGAAACTGCTATGTTTACAGCTGCAGTGTTAACCCTAGATGGATCTGGCACCCAGACCACTTCATTGAGCTGAAGTGGTCTGGGTGCCTGTAATGGTCCTTCAATGCACAGTAGAGCCAGATAAATCTAAATATACTGAATCAATATTTGAGCAATTAAAGAATTCATACAAAATTACCAATTTTAATATAGGATATAGATTTCAAAGATGCATATTTCAACCATTTTACTTGGGCAGTGATTCTTGTACATAAGCGTCAGACCCTTTGATAAATATAAAAACAGGCTCCTTTCTTTGATAAACCTTTTATGGGATAATTTTAAAAGGAATATGTATATTATATTTGGTTTTGTATAGGCCTTTCTGCTATGGTTAACATTTGTGAAGCAATACATTTAAAGACATACTACAGGCATCAAAACAAATTTAGATTAATGAAGCAGTTTTATGTTAGATCATGCCCCTGCATGCTCACTGCTCAATTCTCTGCCTTTTAGAAGTTGAATCTGTTTGCTTCTTTTAATGCATAGCCACATCTCTCCTGGCTGTGACTGACAGTTTTCATTAAGGAAAAAAAAAAAAAAGGTTTTTTTTAAATTTCAATCAGATGGTTAGAAGGTCGTATCTCCTGCTCTATATATTGAACTTTAAAATCACACACAAGAGGTTTATACAGGCTACTGACAAAGCAGGAGATAAATTCTAAATTAAACAGACTGTGCAATAAAGAAATGTCAGTCAGGGGAGGTGTGGCTAAAGGTGCATAAACAAAGTAATTAAAAGGGACACTAGGCACTCAAACCACTTAATCTCATGGTTTACATTGCAGGATTAAGACTGCCTCTAGTTGTTGTCTTCTACTAGAGGCGTTAAACACTGACTTTGAAACGATGCTGGGTGTCCTCATGCCATCTAAGCATCAACTCAAACCCCACAGGAAAGCATGGACTCAGTGCTTTCCTAGGGCGAAGGCCTAACGCGCGCAGCACTCATCCTGCATGCACTTTAGGTCCCCCCCACCAGCTGACATTTGTGGACGAGCAGCCCGAGCCAGTGCCGAGGGACTGTAGCTCTGGAACCAGACAAGTTTCAAAAGGTTTATTTAACCATTTACTTGGCATTCGGGAGTGGCGCGAGGGAGGGGGTGATTAAGGGACCCTTTAGCGTTAGGAATACTTTTTTGTATTCCAAAACACTAACGTTATCCCTTTGAATGTCAGAGTAGTTAGTAATTTGTAGCAATAATTACATATTTCTTTACATTTAAATTGTACTGTTGCTCGCAATGGGCTGAGTGTGTCACCTGACATTCTCAGTCCATCACCAGCTGCCAAGGCAAGCTTCATATACGGCGGACGTCCAGAGGAGACAGGTATCCAGGGGACTAAAATCAAGAAACAACCTTTGCAAAACAGTTTAACCCTTAAGGGTAAAAACCACACTCCTGCCACCATAAAAAAATTTTTGGAAATGGGGTGGAAGTGTTCTTTAAGCCTCAGTTGATTAGTAAAAAATGTGAGCTGTTATCAGTTACATATATAATTATCATTTTGCTACAATACAGAGAATTAAGCACATATGGGAATAAGCATGGTTTCAAATCTCTGCATTATATCATTTAGCACCCAATACCGACATTGGAGCGGTGGTCTACACTTCTGCCATTAAACTGAAGGTAGCACTTCAGGATTTAAGTCAGTTTGGTTTGTTTAGGTTATTACATATTGTAGGCACTTCACTGTAACACGACATGTACTGATAACATTATTCCCAACTCTTACACATATGCAATGTATATTTTGTTTTAGCTATTTTACGCTTACAATAAAATTAATTTTGCATAATGGCTATGGTTTATTATACACTTTATTTCTTTGCAGTCCACAAGTGCGTTCAAACACCTCTGACTATAAAAGTGTTGATGTAATCTAATAGAGGGCTTTATCCTTATGGGTCTTTACTATCTTCTTAAAGGACACACATATGGGTAATGGGAAGGGAAACAAACAGTAAAATCCATTGCCAAAAGCCATTCACCTTGTGTAAAAATCATAGAAGTGGGTAAGGCCTGTGTGATCTCTCATCACATTGTCAGAGTAGCAGGGCAGACTTGGGATGAAGATGAAAGGGTATGTGGGGCACCAAGACAAGAATGGGTGGCAGAATTAGAAGCTAGGGACACAAGAGGTGATAGGGAAAGCCAGGAAAGCATGTTGGTGAATTTAGGGGCATATTAAGTAACAAGGTATGCAATGGTGGTGGAAAGACAGGGCTGATGGGATACCATGACAAGCACTGGGAGGTGGAGTAACAGCAAGTGGATGGGTGGCAGAGCAGGTGCGGTCAAAAAAGCAAGCACTGGTAGGGTGGAAACAGGGCAGGTGAAAAGCCATGGCAAGCACTGGTAGGCAAATGATAAGGCAGACGGGGTTACAGTGACAGGTGGGGTTACATGGGAAGATTAGGTAATATAAGCCCAGGGAGGCGGTAAGGTTACAGTAACAGACAGGTGTCAGGCGGGTGAGGCAACAGTAAGGGAGAGGCGGGTGTCAGGCGGGTGAGGCAACAGTAAAGGAGAGGCGGGTGTCAGGCGGGTGAGGCAACAGTAAGGGAGAGGCGGGTGTCAGGCGGGTGAGGCAACAGTAAGGGAGAGGCGGGTGTGGCAACAGTAAGGGAGAGGCGGGTGTGGCAACAGTAAGGGAGAGGCGGGTGTGGCAACAGTAAGGGAGAGTAAGGAGAGGCGGTGGCAACAGTAAGGGGAGGAGGCTGGTGTGGCAACAGTAAGGGAGAGGCGTGGTGTGGCAACAGAAAGTAAGGGAGAGAGGCGGTGTCAGGGCTGGTGAGGCAACAGTAAGGGAGAGAGGCGGTGTCAGGCGGGTGAGCGTTCAGTAAGGGGAGAGGCGGGTGTCAGGCGGGTGAGGCAACAGTAAGGGAGAGGCGGGTGTCAGGCGGGTGAGGCAACAGTAAGGGAGAGGCGGGTGTCAGGCGGGTGAGGCAACAGTAAGGGAGAGGCAGGTGTCAGGCAGGTGAGGCAACAGTAAGAGATGCGGGTGAGGTTACAGTAATGGGGACAGGCGCGTGAGGTGGCGGTGGTAATGGGGACAGGCGGTGGCAGTAACAGGGTGTCTGAGTTAAAGCAGTGTAGCTGTGACCGGTAGGTGGCCGTGTAGCTGTGACCGGTAGGTGGCCGTGTAGCTGTGACCGGTAGGTGGCCGTGTAGCTGTGACCGGTAGGTGGCCGTGTAGCTGTGACCGGTAGGTGGCCGTGTAGCTGTGACCGGTAGGTGGCCGTGTAGCTGTGGCCGTGTAGCTGTGGCCGTGTAGCTGTGGCCGTGTAGCTGTGGCCGTGTAGCTGTGGCCGTGTAGCTGTGGCCGGTGAGGGCCGGTAGGTGGTCGTGTAGCTGTGGCCGGTGAGGGCCGGTAGGTGGCCGTGTAGCTGTGGCCGGTGAGGGCCGGTAGGTGGCCGTTGATGCTGGCACTGTGCGGACACTTACCTGCCGGTTACAGTAATCAGTCAGTGGTTTTGTCCCGGTGTAGCTGGGGCCGGTGGGTGGCCGTGTAGCTGGGGCCGGTGGGTGGCCGGGGTGAGGGCCGGTAGGTGGCCGGGTAGCTGGGGCCGGTGGGTGGCCGGGTAGCTGGGGCCGGTGGGTGGCCGGGTAGCTGGGGCCGGTGGGTGGCCGGGTAGCTGGGGCCGGTGGGTGGCCGGTAGGTGGCCGTGTAGCTGGGGGCCGGTAGGCCGTGTAGCTGGGGCCGGTAGGTGGCCGTGTAGCTGGGGCCGAGGGTGGCCGTAGCTGGGGCCGGTAGGTGGTCGTGGCTGGGGCCGGTAGGTGGCCGTGTAGCTGGGGCCGGTGAAGAAGCCGTAGCTGGGGCCGTGAAGCTGTGTCAGTAGCTGGGGCCGGTAGCTGTGGCCGTGTAGCTGGGGCCGGTAGCTGTGGCCGTGTAGCTGGGGCCGGTAGCTGTGGCCGTGTAGTTGTGGCCGGTAGGTGGCCGTGTAGCTGGGGCCGGTAGGTGGCCGTGTAGCTGGGGCCGGTAGGTGGCCGTGTAGCTGGGGCCGGTAGGTGGCCGTGTAGTTGTGGCCGGTAGGTGGCCGTGTAGCTGGGGCCGGTAGGTGGCCGTGTAGCTGGGGCCGGTAGGTGGCCGTGTAGCTGGGGCCGGTATGTGGCCGTGTACCTGTGGCCGGTGAGGGCCGGTAGGTGGCCGTGTAGCTGGGGCCGGTGAGGGCCGGTAGGTGGCCGTGTAGCTGGGGCCGGTAGTGGCTGCAGGCCGGGGCCGGTAGGTGTCGTGTAGCTGGGGCCGCGTAGTTGTGGCAGGTAGGTGGCCGTGTAGCTGGGGCCGGTAGGTGGCCGTGTAGCTGGGGCCGGTAGGTGGCCGTGTAGCTGTGGCCGGTAGGTGGCCGTGTAGCTGGGGCCGGTAGGTGGCCGTGGCCGGTAGGTGGCCGTGTAGCTGGGGCCGGTAGCTGTGGCCGTGTAGTTGGACCCTTACCTGCCGGTTACAGTAATCAGTCAGTGGTTTTGTCCCGGTGTAGCGGTGTCCCCAGCTCTCGCTGTCCCTCTCACAGCAGGCCGCACTGTGATTCTCCGAGGCCGGCAGGCGCCGCGCACATCGTGGGCCGAAGCGAAGGTTAAAGGAAAGACAGGGCCTGACAGGATCACACGGCTCCCCTCACCTCAGCGCTTCATCCTCACAGGCTCACGGTTCGGCCGATTTACATGACGCCTTCGCGCCCTCTCACTGACCGCGGATCCTGTTGCGGGGGGTTTAATATTTATTTATTTATTTTTCCCACTCCTAAAACGACCGAGCGGCGCAGCAGCGGCGTGGGGGAGGGGAACGCAGGGCCGTCTCCGTCAGCGATTGGCCAGCGGAGGCCTCGAGCCAGTGACACGCGGGCTGACGATTCGCGGCCGGCGCTGTCAATCAAAGCAGACGTTCCAGCAGCGGACTGAAAAAGTCGGCTTCTGATTGGTTGAAGCTGCTGTCACTCAAACTAGCTCTTTCTATGACTATATCAGTTCCGCCGCTGACAGGCAGCTTATCTATCCCTTTACTCGCGCATCAACGACACTTACGCCTGGATTGAAGGGATACCCAAATACAACAATAGGCGGGGGCAGCGGCCGATTACCGACGGCCGGGGGAGGGTATGTGCAGGGTTGTTGTTTGAGCCGTAACCAACCTTGTTTGATGCGAATATGTTGATCTTTTGTCTCTCGGATTCTCATTGGTTATTAAAGCTTGATTGACGGCTTTCGCGACCAATGGTAGAGCAACAGTGGGCGTGGCGGGGGAGAAAGCGACCTGAATGTTGTTTTCCTCAATGCGACTCTGTGGGGAGGGGGAGGGGAGAAAAAAAAGAGACAGAGTCCCGGATGTAACATGAGCTCATCGCGGGCCAATCAGCGAGCAGGGTGACGTCATCCGCTTCACAAAAACAAGTCTCTGTCTGTCACGTAGAGGGCGGGGTCAAGGGTGGGCCAAGTTGGCTGCTGAGTGACGTCACTGACTGCAGAATGGTCATGTTGGTAAAATATGACGTCTTACAGCTATAATATGCTTTGAAGCCGTCATATTTGGTTATAAAGCTGTTAGTCTCACACATGAAAACCATGGTAAAAAAAATATAGTGTCAGCTTGGTGGAATAAAGTGTGATTTGGCAAGATTGTAAAGTGAACTTTAAAAATTAAGGAAAAAATAGCCAAATTTGGTGGCAAAAGATTCTCTATTTTGCAAAGACTCGATGATGACATCGTCTTTTTGAGGAGTAGTGACGGGGGTGCAGGAGAGGGGAGTTATGCTGTGCTGCTCTCTGTGGGCGCCGCCATTTTTAATCTTTAGCTTCTGGCACGTCATATGCCAGGAGCCCATGTGCATATGCACTGGAGAACAACACTCATGTTTTCCCACATCATCAACAGCTGTGGGAAGTGACAAAACATGGCCGCAGTAGCTCCTCGCCTTGCCCTTTTGTCAAGTTGGGCATTATTTTTGTCTCTATTGATTTTTTTCGCTAAAATTCCAACAAGTCTTTATGCACATTTCATAAAGCTTTTGTCTTTATGATATTCTCGCAATTTTGGGAAGGATGACTGTAGCAACTTTAAATTCCTTTTTTGACTTATTCATATTTCACACTTTAAAGGACCACTCTAGGCACCCAGACCACTTCAGCTTAATGAAGTGGTCTGGGTGCCAGGTCCAGCTAGGGTTAACCCATTTTTTCATAAACATAGCAGTTTCAGAGAAACTGCTATGTTTATGAATGGGTTAAGCCTTCCCCCTAATCCTCTAGTGGCTGTCTCATTGACAGCCACTAGAGGCGCTTGCGTGCTTCTCACTGTGATTTTCACAGTGAGAGCACGCCAGCGTCCATAGGAAAGCATTATGAATGCTTTCCTATGTGACCGGCTGAATGCGCGCGCAGCTCTTGCCGCGCATGCGCATTCAGCCCAGGAGGAGGAGAGCTCCCCGCCCAGCGCTGGAAAAAGGTAAGTATAACCCCTTTTCCCCATTCCAGAGCCGGGCGGGAGGGGGACCCTGAGGGTAGGGGCACCCTCAGGGCACTATAGTGCCAGGAAAACAAGTATGTTTCCCTGGCACTATAGTGGTCCTTTAATAAACTGTACACAACAGGGTTGTAAACTAATTACTGCCTGCAGTTCTTGAACTGAAAATTTATATTTAAAAAAAATTGTCATCTTTTGACAATAATGGTGTTTATTTTATGTTTGTGTTGTTTATGTTTGGTTTAAAGGGCTATTTTTGAGTTCACTGTGCAATTTAAATGTTGATGTATGTATATCTGAGAACTGCATGGGGGTTGATATAAATTGAGCAATGCTCTTGCCTCTGTTAGTCCAACATTTGTTTTGTGCATTTAAGATTCATTCTTCAGTATGCTACTGATACATACAGCAAAATCATAAAGGGTTAGAGTTAACACTTGCAGGGCTATTCACTACATTCTAAAATGTAGCACATTTAATGGGTATTTGTGCCTATAACAATGTATGCATTTTTTAAAGAGCACTAAATTCTACCTATACATTGTGTTAACAGATTTGTAATCAAATGTATAGAGACTATACCAAAGAATTGACTAACAAGGGAGAGCTGAAAAAGACCCCAGGCGGTCCTACAGCTCTCCATACATAGCCACCACAGCTCACATGCTGTGGTTGCTATGGTAACTTCCTAGCTAACGCTCTGTTCAGACGCCAGATTGCTGACAAAGAATCCAGCGTGTTGGTGTCACCGAGGAGATTTACCAAAGAATACTGCAGTCGGGGCAAAGGCGAATTGGAGGTGGGTGTTATAAGAAGAATAACACACAAAAAGCTCAAAATATTGAGGCAGTAGGACGGAGGTGAGGTGACAATATCTCAAAACTTTACATGGAATATCATGTATACATGCTGTATTCAATAGGCATGCGCATGGGGAAAAGGTTCGGCATTCCGAAATTCGGGATTTTCACAATTTGGAACTTCGGCAGTTCGGGACTTCTATTGCAGCCGCTTAGTAGATAACTCCCTAATTCCCACGGAATGTGATCACTTGTTGAATTAGATGATTCTTATAGACCAGCTTTGGGGACACACGGTGCATGAGTGGGAAATTGCGGTCTTCTGACAATTCAATGCTTCCCATGGAAGAGCAGCATGTCATTCTTTGTAAATCATATGCTTCTTCTTACTAATGATGCCAAACATGGAGTGCTTCATATAATAGGCAAAGCTGAACATTTTAAACAAATGTTAGATTACCTATCATGTATGAATTGTAAGCGCACACACTTGTTATGGTGGCAGGAGGTCCCAAGTTTCTTATCTTAAGAGCTAAACCATTAATGAACGGTTTAGTCTTAAAGTCTGCAAACTGATACTTGATTGTTCTGCCCCTCCACTTCCTCTGAGATTTATTTAAGTGTAAGTATGTGAAGAGAGGAATTAAAATAGAAAAAGCCCTATTCAAAAACAACAAAATTGCTCTGGTCGCTAATGCTCTGAAGCAATGCAAATTCCTTTTAATTAAGCAGATCAATCAATATAATAAATGTATTGTTGCCCTTCTATACAATGATACTGCCCAGCTCACTCAATCAAATACACCTGGGCAGGGCCAGATAAAGAGCCCATTGGGCCTGGTGCTGACCTTTTATGATGTGCCTAATTATAGAATCTTATCGACAGAAAACACTAAAACAGTTATACCTCCCAAGCATCACAGATCTGATGGAAGTGGTGCTGTAGGCGAACTCACAGGATAAACCTATCGAGAACACATACCGTATGCTAATCTCTCACTTTAATCTTTCAAGTAAATCCATACCTCCTAAAAGAAGTGTCCACTGAAGCAAGATATTGGTGGGCAGGGTGGTGATTAGCCACTGGCGCGAATCACGTAACCAGAATCACCTAAAGGCACAAACATGCCCCAAAAACTGTAAGGCCAGCCTGGCGTGAATGCGTGTTATGCTGCCTGCCAATTGGACCATAGTTTTGTATACTATGCAGACAGCACCCTGAGCTTAGCATAAATGCGTCTGATGATTTCCTCTCTCTATGCTTCTAAGGACTTTCCCCTAGCACTCCCTATTCCTCTCCTTACCTCCTTACGAACAGGCAGCAGTGGTGTATCCTGGTTTTGTGCTGCCCTAGGCAGGACAAAACTCAGACACTCCCCTCCCCCCGTGCGCCACCCCCACCCAACCCTTCACCCCTGCCCCGCATTCTAAATACACACACATTCACTGACAGAAACACATACTTCCTAACAGACACACAAACACTCACTAACAGACAAACACACTCACACACTAACAGCACTAACAGACACACACTAGGCAGGACAAAACTCAGGCTCCCCCCCACCCCGCATTCTGAACACACACACATTCACTGACAGAAACACATACTCACAAACAGACATACACACTCTCACTAACACTCACTCACTGATACACAGTGAATACTGGGGGGGGTTCTCCCTCTCCCTGGGGCTGCTGGGCGGGCGGCACTGGCGAGGGAGCACTTTCCCCTGAGCTTTCTGCTCAGCTCCCTCGCGCGCCACCCGCAGAGTGATGCTGGGAGCCGGAATATGACATCATATTCCGGCTCCCAGCCTCACTCTACGGGAGACGCACAAAGGAGCTGAGCAGAGAACTCAGGGGAAAGTGCTCCCTTGCCAGCGCCGCCTGCCCAGCATGTCAGTTAGCCGCAAGGCTAACAAGACATATGCCCTGGGCATTCGGGGGCGGCTTTATTTGCTGCCCCCCTGGAAAATGCCGCCCAAGGCAAATCCCTTGTTTGCCTCTGTCAGGATTACTGTTTGATCCAGCACATAGAACTGTACAGCACGGATGACAAATAAGTAACGTATTACCGGTCCTTAGAATGGCCGGATTTAACGTACAAAGTATAGTCAAAAATACTAGCCGAGGTCAGGGAACACAGAAAGGGACACAGCGATGAGGAAAGCCAGGAGTCAGGATACCAGAATATAGAGAAGTCAATAAACAAAGCCAAAGTCAAAACCAGGTAGAAAACTATAAACAGGAACGCGCTCTCAGACAACCACAAGGGAAACCACGACAGGGCACTGAGCAGGCTGAGAACTGGGCCTAAATACCCCTCCTTTAGTTCTGATAGGCTGTAACCGGCCTTTGACCCCAAAGTCAGTTACCAGGTTTCATTTGCATAATTGCTGCTCAGCATTAACCCTTCTGTGGATTAGGTTGCTGCTCGGCACAACTTTTCCTGTGTGGACAGTAAATGTCATTAACCACATTTCTATAAGCGGATGAATATGTGACATTACCCCCCACCTGAAGAACGCCCACCGGGCGGACAGGACCAGGCTTGAGAGGAAATTTAGCGTGAAAAGCGCGGATCTTACGGCCCGCATGCAGGTCAGGAGCCGAAACCCAAGAACGATCAGCAGGACCGTAACCTTTCCAAACAACCAAGTACTGTAAAGTGCCCCGAGAAAACCTAGAATCCACGATAGAAGATACCTCATACTCTTCCTGACCACCCACCACCACCGGAGGGGGAGGAACACAAGGAACAGTATATCTATTGCAGACAAGAGGTTTGAGTAAGGACACATGAAAAGTGTTGGGAATCCCTAAAGATGCAGGAAGAGCCAGAGAGTAAGACACTGGATTGATCCTACGAAGCACTCTATAGGGACCAAGGAATCTGGGGGCAAACTTCATGCTAGGGACCTTAAGCTTGATGTTGCGAGATGACAACCAAACCCGGTCCCCCACTTGGTACACCGGGTTGGCACTCCTACGCTTATCAGCAAAATGTTTGAAGCGTTCAGCAGCAGCCCCTAGAGCAGTTTGAACCTTAACCCAGGTATCCCGAATGGAGGCCAGACGCTCATCCAGAGCAGGAATGGCAGTATCAGAAAATACCGCAGGGAGAACCGTAGGATGCCTACCATTATTGACAAAAAATGGACTGTGCCCAGAGGAGTCATGAACAGCATTGTTTCTAGCGAACTCGGCCCACGGGAGTAGTTCGGACCAATTGTCTTGTGTGCTATTAATAAAACAACGCAAATAAACTTCTAATGACTGGTTAGCCCTCTCAGCTGTACCATTGGTCTGTGGATGGTAGGAGGAGGAGAAGGAGAGATCAATCCCCAATTGTTTACTGAACGCCCTCCAGAACCTGGACACAAACTGAGAGCCCCTATCAGACACAATATTGTGGGGGATGCCATGCAAACGGACAATTTCACGTATGAAAATTAGGACCAAATCTTGCGAAGATGGCAACTTCTTGAGAGGAATGAAGTGAGCCATCTTAGAAAATCGGTCTACAACCATGAGAATAGTAGTGAACCCAGCAGAGCTAGGAAGCTCAACAATAAAGTCCATGGATAGGTGGGACCATGGAATCTCAGGAACAGGAAGAGGCTGCAACAGGCCACAAGGAAGTGCATGAGTCACCTTAGAAACTGCACACACAGAACATGCCTGCACATACTCCTTTACATCTTTCCTGAGTGAATCCCACCAAAATGATCTAGTGATCGCGGCAGTGGACTTATTGATGCCCGGGTGTCCAGCAGTTATATTGTCATGGAACACTTTCATGATATTAACCCTTTCACATAGGGGAACGAACAGTTTATCACACGGTTTACCACTGGGTGCCTGAGGCTGGGCCTCCAGTATGGTGCCAAGCAGTGGTGAAGACAGTGAGAGGACAGTAGTAGCAATAATACACTCTGCTGGAATAATAGGAGATGTCATCTGTTCCGGAGCTGACTCATTATCAAATTGCCTGGACAAGGCATCAGCCTTGGTATTTTTAGAACCAGGTCTATAAGTAATGAGAAAGTTAAAACGTGAAAGGAACAGTGACCATCTAGCCTGTCTGGAAGACAAACGTTTGGCATCCCCTATATATGCCAGATTTTTGTGGTCGGTTATGATCAACAGGGGGTCCTTGGAACCCTCCAAAAGATGTCGCCACTCCTTGAGGGCAAGAATAATGGCCAACAGTTCTCTATTGCCAATATCATAGTTGCGCTCAGCAGGAGACATCTTTCTGGAGAAGTAGCCACAAGGATGCAATGGTGTTTCCTGGCTTTCTCTCTGAGAGAGAACAGCCCCTACCCCTGTCTCGGATGCATCAACCTCCAATATAAAAGGTTTACTGGTGTCAGGATGTTTTAGTATGTCCGCAGAGGCAAATCTTTGTTTAAGAGTCTCAAAAGCATTCACAGCCTCTTTGGACCATACCGTGCTACTAACCCCTTTGCGAGTCATATTTGTGATTGGGGCTATTACAGAAGAAAATCCCTTGATGAATCTTCTGTAATAGTTGGCAAAACCAATAAACCTTTGAATGGCTTTTAAACCAGAGGGTAATGGCCAGTGTAGTACAGCCTCTAGTTTTTTAGGATCCATTTGAAATCCCGATGCAGAGATGTTGTAACCCAAAAAGTGGACTTCAGGCTGGTCAAATATGCACTTTTCTAATTTACAATAAAGTTTATTTTTCAACAACGTCTGCAGAACCTGTTTCACATGGGAGTGGTGAGTTTGAAGATCAGGGGAATACACCAAAATATCGTCCAAATAAACCAAGACAAATGAGTAAATGAATTCCCTGAGTACATCATTTATAAAGTCTTGGAATACGGCCGGGGCGTTGCATAACCCAAATGGCATTACCAGATATTCATAGTGTCCACTACGGGTATTAAATGCTGTCTTCCACTCATGATTCTCTTTAATTCTAACCAAATTGTAAGCACTCCTAAGGTCAAGCTTAGTAAATACTTTAGCTCCCTGAAGTCTATCGAACAATTCGGAAATGAGTGGAATAGGGTATGCATTTTTTACAGTGATTTTATTAAGTGCCCTGTAGTCTATGCAAGGGCGTAACTCACCACCCTTTTTCTCAACAAAAAAGAATCCTGCACCAGCTGGTGAGGATGACTTTCTTATGTGCCCTTTGCTCAAGGATTCTTTGATGTATTCCTCCATTATTTTACTCTCCTGGGGAGATAAGGCATAAACTGCCCCCTTAGGTGGCATAGCGCCTGGAAACAGGTTAATGGCACAGTCATATGCTCTGTGGGGAGGCAATACATCGGATTGAGCCTTGTTAAACACCTCCTGAAGTTCTCGGTATTGTATGGGAACTCCAGGAGTTTGGGAGTGGTAGTGGGAAGGTCAATAGTATCCAATCTCTTTAGTACTGGTTTTATACATCTCCCCATACACTCTTTACCCCATTCTAATATCTCCCCATTAGCCCAGTCAATATAGGGATTGTGCTTACTCAGCCACGGAAACCCTAATATGATAGGACATGATGGAGAAGTAATAACCTGAAACGTCATCTCCTCGCTATGTGAGGCCCCAATGGAGATCGTAATAGGGACAGTTTTGTGGGTTATAAGCGGTTGTGTGAGTGGTCTACCATCAATAGCCTCTACAGCTAGCGGCGTAGGTCTCTCCCTGACCGGTATCTCATTACCCCTTATAAACTGTACATCAATAAAATTTCCAGCAGCACCTGAGTCCATTAGGGCACTGCAAGAAAACTTCTTGTTATCAATGGAAATAGATACCTCAAGGAGGAATCTACTTTTGTTTTTGTTAGAGGACAACTCCATCACACCTAAGATCTGTTCCCTTAAGGTTCTTAGGTGCGGAAGTTTTCCGGACGCACTGGACAATTAGTTATCATATGTCCCTTTCTACCGCAATATAGGCATAACCCCTCCCTTCTCCTATACTGTTTTTCGGCCTCTGATAGTCTAGTGACCCCCAACTGCATAGGTTCGGGTTCAGACTGTACAGGGAGGTTAGACAAAACAGGTTTAGAGAATTGAGGTGCTAGGGACATAGCCGTACGTCTGGTCTTGCTTCTGGTGACTTCTCTGAGTCTTAACCTATTATCAATATGCATGACAAACGTGATAAATTCGTTAAGACTCTTAGGTAATTCTTTAGCGGCTATCTCATCTAGTATAGTCTCTGAGAGACCCTTTTTGAATGCTGAGATTAACCCATTGTTAGTCCAGTCTACCTCGGAAGCTAAGGTACGGAATTTAATAGCATAATCCGAGATAGACCGGTTACCTTGTCTGATGTGCATTAGGGCAGTGGAGGCGTCATCCTCTCTACCCAATGGCTCAAACGTGAGCTTGAATTCGGCAAGGAATTCCTGGTAATTATGAGCTATGCTCTGATTACTCTCCCACAACGGATTAGCCCAGGCAAGGGCCTTGCCCTTTAATTGATTCATTAGATAACCAATTCTTGCTCTGTCCGTGGGGAATGACCCTGGTGAGGCCTCAAAATGGTACTCCACCTGATTAAGAAAACCCCTGCATTCCTGGATATTGCCATCAAACTGTAGGGATGGTGATAAGGAGATGCTAGGAGTCCTATTAACAGTGGGTGGAGGTACACAGGGTAGAGGTGCTATAGGAGGAGACGCTGCAGGCTGCAGATGCTCCGTTCTAGCGAGAAGCGTACTTAAAGCCTGAGTGAATTGATCCATGCGGTGATCATTCTCCTCTAATTTCCTCTCGCAAGCAGCTATGTGCTGACACAGTTCTACAGGATCTATGGCCATGTCGTAATGTCAGGATTACTGTTTGATCCAGCACGTAGAACTGTACAGCACGGATGACAAATAAGTAACGTATTACCGGTCCTTAGAATGGCCGGATTTAACGTACAAAGAATAGTCAAAAATACTAGCCGAGGTCAGGGAACACAGAAAGGGACACAGCGATGAGGAAAGCCAGGAGTCAGGATACCAGAATATAGAGAAGTCAATAAACAAAGCCAAAGTCAAAAACCAGGTAGAAAACTATAAACAGGAACGCGCTCTCGGACAACCACAAGGGAAACCACGACAGGGCACTGAGCAGGCTGAGAACTGGGCCTAAATACCCCTCCTTTAGTTCTGATAGGCTGTAACCGGCCTTTGACCCCAAAGTCAGTTACCAGGTTTCATTTGCATAATTGCTGCTCAGCATTAACCCTTCTGTGGATTAGGTTGCTGCTCGGCACAACTTTTCCTGTGTGGACAGTAAATGTCATTAACCACATTTCTATAAGCGGATGAATATGTGACAGCCTTGCGGCTAAAACGTCCCTGACAGGCAGAACTGAAGCTCCTGGTATATAGTCTGAGACAGAGAAAAGGTGTATGTAGTGAGTGTAGAAGAAAGAGAACATGCCACAGTGTTAGCGAGCAAAGTCAGCTTTACCTTAACTAATTTCATTGTCAGCCAGTCAGTAAGTTTCCATACTGAAGAGTAGTAAATAAGAAAATGAACCCCTCGCCCCTGCAGCTCCATCTACCCCTAAGTTAATCCGGCCCTGCACATGGGCAAAAACAAAACTATATATATATATTTGTAAATAAAAATAATCCTAAATCTGAAAAAAATACCACATGCTTTAGTAAAGAATAGCCTGCTTGAAAATTAAAGTTAGCAAGTACAAAAACATGATTTTGCCTACTTCTACATCTCTTAAAAATAATCCCTTTTTACTGTGATACATATACACGGCACGCACATAATTTAATAGGGAGTTTGAACTTTTGAATGATAAGAAAAGTTAATAATTTGTCTCTCTAGGTGCTTAAGAACTATGAAAAGAACTAATAGATGTTTCAGAGTTAACGATTAACCAAACCAATATACCCAGGCAGAAATGATGATTGTGTTCTATTACTGACTTTGCTAAAACTCTTCTGTTGTAGGCAGACAATGATGTGTAATTACAAAAAGTTCTCCTAGAAGTTTTTAAAACAGTTTTTTACCTTTTTACATCAGCTTTTGCAAAATAGAATGGAGGGTCCTAAAGCACTGTTCTTTTGGTTTGCTATGTACATTATTGTGTAACATAGTGATGTACACACAAGCTTGACAATAGATAAAACCCTTTCCGTACCAGAGGATTTAAGGGAATTTGTTTTATTCCTAGCATTATAGTCCCGCCTCGCTTGCAGCAGCCCCTCCCTTCCTGTAGTGATGAAAGGGTTAAAAACCCTTTTGTCACTTACCTGAAACCAGCGCCAATGTTCCTTGGTGCTGGTTCAGGCTCCTCCTCCGCCGATATCAGCCAGTGGTTGCGACAACGCTCATCCGGGCCGAGCACTGCACTCCCATTAGGACTACTACATAGGAAAGCATTGTATCTTTGCTTTCCTATGGGGCTTTAGCTAATGCTGGATGTCATGCAAAGCGTGAGGACGTCCAGCGTAAAGTAGTCTGGGTGCCTATAGTGTCCCTTTAATGCTAATCTTTGGTTCATTGCAGTATACTCACACTTTGCCCTGAGCTACATGCACTTTCTAGGAGATATTGCTGCATTAGAAACGTTATTGAATTTTCTAATTCAGATCATTCTAAAAGTAGTTAGATCGACTTATAGGGTAATACCACTTAATAAGAGCAAGTTTACATATCCAAAGGTTTTACATCTTAGCTACCAGTACCTCATAGGTATACATAAGCAGATTATAATACATTAAATTATTATTTATTGATTTTTTTTGAAATTTGTATTTTATTGTTTTTCAACATATATTAGGGGGGGGGGGGATACAGAAGAGAAGAAAGGAGGGGGGGGGTAGTCACATTGCATAGTTTACATGCACACAATTGTATTTTACAGTATTATCCAGTATGCATCACCGAACATATCACATTTACACTGGTCAATTCGAGCTAATACCTTATGGGCCAATCACTGCGGTGCCCTGTACTTCGCCACCAGGTCGTCAAACCCTACCAGTCCCCAAGACCCTGTTTGTTCTATCGTCACCGGCTCCCTTTAGTGTCCTATCTCCCCTATCCTGGGTTGTCTCCTGTTGTGGTGGTTTATAGTGGGGTTGTGGCTTGTGCGTCCTCTTCTATGGTGTGGGGATTGGTAAGTGGGGGTGGCCTTATGGCCAGTGATCCTCTATGGGGGCTCATTAGTCTGGGTTGTCCGCCCTCCAAGAGCGCCATAATTCCCATGTACTCAGGAAGCGTTGTGGGTACGGGTGTGTCGTAACGAAGTGTGTTTCATAGAGTAGTTGTTTGTCTATTTCTTGTATAAGGGGTAGGATGTTGGGGTGTTTGTCAGATTTCCAGAGCCTGGCTATTAATTTTTGGGCAGTCAATAGAATATGGCATATCAGCTTCTTCACCCCGGTAGGTACGGTACTCGGTATGTCTAGCAACAAGAAGGTTGCGGGTTCAAGGGGTATGTCAGTGTTGGTGGCTTCGGTAAGGAGCTTGTGTACCTCTTTCCAAAATCTAACAAGGCGGGGGCATCTCCACCAGATGTGTATGACTGTTCCGTGGTCACCTATGCATCTCCAGCATACCGGAGACGAGTGGGGGTATTGTTTATGTATGCGGGACGGGACCATGTACCACCTATATAACGTTTTCCTGTGTTGTTCCAGGAGTGGGGCTGATTTAATCAACCTCCTCGTGGAGGATATAATGTGTTTCCATTTAGCTTCGGGAATTTTGGCCCCTAGGTCCAGGTCCCATTGTAGTGCCTGTGGTGAGTTGTGGAAGGGTATGTACGTCTGAAGGGTTTTGTAACAGTCCGATAGTGGCTTGAATGTGGGTGGCATTTTCCCCGATATGCCTATTTTCTCCCAGGTTGAGAGTTCCACCGGCCTGAGTTGGCCCGGGGGTTTTGTCTTATTTCGTGTGGTGAGAAGGGAGTGTAGTTGAAGGTGCGAATATTGTGATGTTTGTGGAATGTTGTAGGTGGATCGGAGCTTAGCGAAGTTCGTGAGTTTGCCTGCTTCACACATGTGTGACAGGTGGGTGATCCCCATGGCCTTCCATGGTGTCGCATGGAACGTAGGGATGCAGTATGTTATAGCTTCAATTGGAGTTGCCATTGATAGGGGGTGTCCTGTTTCGAAATGTCCTCTGTGTGTTTCCCAGACCTGTAGTGCCAATGCAAGTTGGGCGGGTGGGAGTGGGGTGGCCGGTCTGTCTTTTTTTGGTAACCACAGCAGGTTGGGGATTTGGAAGGGTAAGATGGCTGTATGCTCCATTGCCACCCATTGGGGTTGGTTGTCCTTGGTCAAATGTGGCAAGAGGGAGGACAGTACTGCAGCTTGGTAGTACAATTTGACATTAGGGAATGCCATTCCCCCTTGTGCTGTGGGGGCTAGGAGCACTTTTTGTGAGATTCGTGCCCGTCTCGTTCCCCAAGTGAATTGTAGCAGTTTGGCCTGGATGGTATTGAAGTATGATGGCGATACTCGTAAGGGTAGGTTCCTAAATAAGTATTGAAGTTTCGGTAGTATGGTCATTTTTAGTGCTACTATTCGCTCCGACCAAGTTAAAAATAACCGGTCCCAGCCCTTCATTGTTTTAAGACAGTCCTCCCAAACCCTGGTATAATTCGCTGGGAACATATCTGTGACATTTTTAGTAAATGTCAGGCCTAGATATTTTATGTCTTTTTTCCTCCATTCAAATTGGTAGTCTTTGTGTAGGTTCGCCAAGACTTGTGGGTCCAGGCGTAGACCCAATGCTTGTGTTTTGGAGGTGTTGAGGGAGTAATAGGACAGAGTCCCATATTCATGTATGAGTCGCATTATATGTGGGAAAGAGCTCTCTGGGTGGGAGATGTACAGCAGGATATCGTCTGCAAACGCCCCTATCTTTATTTGACGGCCATGCCAGTCCACCCCTGTTATTTCTGTTCGGGTTCTGATTCCTGTGAGCAGTGGTTCTAGGGCTAAAACGTAGAGTAGGGGGGACAAGGGGCACCCCTGTCGTGTGCCGTTAGTAATTTTAAAGGGGTTAGACAGAAAACCCGCTTGTAGTACCCTTGCAGTGGGGTGTGAATATAAAGCGAATATCTGTGTGATGAGTTGGTGTGGAAAATCATACCTCTGTAGCACCTTGTGGAGGAAGGGCCAGCCCAGGCGGTCAAACGCTTTTTCGGCATCTAGTGCTAAGAGCAGTCCGCCTGGGCCGGACCTCCTCATCCTCTCTAACACGAGAGCCAGTTTCCGGGTATTGTCCAGACCCTGTCTCCCCAACACAAATCCCGTTTGATCGTCGTGTATGAGTGTCGGTAATATTTTACCGATTCTGGACGCTAAGATCTTGGCGTAGATCTTAGCATCCGTATTTAACAACGAAATGGGTCTGAAAATCTTACATTGGTCAGCAGGTTTTCCCGGTTTAGGTATGGTCACTATCGTTGCTAAGAGCATCTCAGTTGGAAGTACTCCTGTGTCTGTGGCTTTTTGGAACACTTGTACGAGTCTGGGACCAAGTATTTCCGCGAACGTTTTGTAATATATATTAGGGAGCCCGTCTGCACCCGGGGATTTCCCTGTAGGGAGGTGTTGTATGGTGTGTAGGACCTCAGTAAGAGTGATGGGTTCAAGTAGTGCATTTCTTTGGTGTCTGTCTATCCTGGACAGAGGAAGCTGGTCCAAGTACCTTTGGATAGCGTTTTCATCTAAAGGGGTTGTGTCTGGGTGATCTCCCAAATTATATAAGTCAGAGTAATATTTTGCAAACTCCTGGGTGATATCTAAGGGGTTTTGTATTTTGGACCCATTTGGTCCTTGTAAGTAAGCTATTTTGGAGGCCGCCAATTTCTCTCTCAGCCGATTGGCCAGATGTTTTGTCGCTTTCCCGCTATGGTGATATGTGGTGGCCTTCATTCTATGAAGTAGGGACGCAGTTTTGGCTGCCTGTAACTGATGTAGCTGGTTGGTCAGAGATTGGATCTGGTTTGCTAGAAGTGGGGAGGGGGATCGTTTGTTCTGGGTGGTAAGGGCCGCTAGTTTCGTTTGGTGCTCAAGTATTGTAGTTTGTCTTTGTTTTTTGAGGTAGGACGAGCGTCTGATAAATAGGCCTCGTACCACAGCCTTGTGAGCCATCCACACAGTCTGTACTGACACTTCCTCAGTAGAGTTTGTGTGAAAGTAGGCAATGAGTTCAGCTTTTATTTGGTTCACAAAGTCGTGGTCTCGGAGTAAGGAATCGTTCATTCTCCAAGTCCCCCGTCCTTTAAACTGAAAGGAGTCGTGTAACACCAAGTACACTGGGCTATGGTCTGACCAAGTAATATCTCCCATGAAGCATGTAGAGATTTGTGCTAATGTGGGTTGGTCCACGTAAAATGTGTCTATACGGGTATACGTGTTGTGTGCCGCCGAGTGAAAGGAGTAGTCTCTTTCCCCTGGGTGCAGCATTCTCCAACTATCATATAGGTTGTGAAGTGAGAGCAGTTTGGACACTGCCTTGCATGTGGAGTTTACGGTCGCCTGTTGTGTCCCCTGGGGTAGGGCAGTCGTGTCGACTTCTGGGGAGGTAAAGAAGTTGAAGTCACCACAGAGCACCAGTCCACCTTGTCTATATTTGTCTATGTCTTGCAGAAGACGTCTGAGGTATTTTTCTGTCCCAGTATTTGGGAAGTAGGCAGATACCAAGGTATATTGGGTATTATTAAAAAGCCCTACTAGTAGGACATATCTCCCTTGGGCATCTAGTAATTTTGTCTGCTCCTGGAATGCCACATCTTTATGTATGAAGATGGAGGCCCCTTTCATTTTACTGTCTGATAGGGCATGGTATTGATTTGGGTATAGTTTAGTGAAGATTTCTGGGGTCTTGGCCTTTTTAAAGTGTGGATACAGGCTATGTCGATCCCTTGTTCTTTTAGCTCTTGAAGTAGTAGCCTTCGTTTACCTGGGGTGTTCAGCCCCTTGACGTTATAGGTTAGTAGTTTCATGCTGGAGTGTCAGGTGGAAATAGTGTGCTTAGGTGGGTCGGGTTTCGTCCATCTGCGCTTATAACCGGTACTGCAATTGCCCTGGGTGGGGGTTGTGCATGACGTGCGTCACTGTGAAATCTGGGAATGTGACCAGTCAGGGGGTGAGGGAAGTAAGTAGGGGGTGAAACTGGGGTGAAAAGAACAATTGGGTAAGATACCCATTTCGGCTCCAAGGAGTGGGGCCGTGCCCTGCTGTCTAGCATGGAGGCGCGGCAGTCGGGGGGGTGGGGGTGAAGTTGGCAGTTCTCTAGGTCGTGCACCATAGAAAAAGCCAAAAAAAACGTGAGCAGTATTAACATGCAACTATTGTTTCTGTTATGCCTTGCACATGTACTCCGGTAAATAACAACTATCAGTACCTAGAATATAGAGGGGTGTCACCCAATTTGTTTTCCCAGGAACAACTCTAACGGGGTTATGCATCTATCTATCAACTGTTATATACATCACATAGTTACGTATGTCGGTAGGAATGTTCAGTTCTCATTGTGTTGTCCACTCCGGGGACATCCTCGGGACTTTAGCTGCTTTGATGGGGTGTAGGTTCTGGATCGGGAGTCCCCATTCTTTCAGCTGCTGGATACCTTGCGCCACTGTGTTGACGGGGTGTATTGCGTCTTGGTAAGAAATTAAGAGTTTGGCCGGGTAGCCCCAGCGGTAGTTCACGTTGTGGTCCCGCAGGGCGGAGGTGACCGGCCCCATGGTTTTCCTGAAGTGTAGCGTGTCCGCTGAGAGATCCGCAAAGATCTTGATGGAAGAGTAGGCTTCTGGCATATCCGCTTTTCTGCTGGCCTTCATTATCCTCTCTTTATTATTTTGGTTTTTAATACCAGACATAGATGATTAATATTTTATAGGACAAGAATTTTAAAAACAAAATAATGGGTATCTGGGTAATTGAATTATTTTTTTTTTTGTATTTAAAGATGTATTTTTGGCAGGATTATAGTTGATCCAGCATGCAGAATTGTATCACGCCTAAAGACTAAGGATAACATCTAACTGGACCTTAGAATGACCGGACTTAACGTACCAGGGGATAGTCAAAATACTTGCCGAGGTCAGGGACACAGAATGAGACGCAACCATGAAGAAAGCCAAAGTCACATACCAGAAAAAACACGATCAGGAACACACTCTCGGATAACCAGCTAGCAGAAACCACGACAGGGCACTGGGAAAAAGGTAATTTGGGTTTAAATAACCCTCTTCGGGCTGTAATTGGCTGTCTCTGACCCCAAAACGTGCGTGCACGTCTATGATGTGATGTCGCATGCATGTTGGCGCCATCTTTAATGTGGGCGAAGGTAAATTTATTATAAAATCCTGAACGGCAGCGGCCGGCTTTCCTAAAACGTTGCACCA